TCCCCTTTTTTCTTCATGTTTAAGGGTGAAATATTCTAAAAATGGCAATTCTGAGAAATCGAATACATACAAAAATGTATTTACAAAGGCAAAAGCCAGCATCACTTCCAGAGTGCACCTGAAAGCTCTCAGCTGCCCAAAGGAACAGCAAAATGCAGATATTATTTATAAGTTTTGCTTACTTAAATTTTCTAGATGCAGGTTTGCACTAAACATACATCTTAGACAACCTCATGTCATCTAAAAGCAGAAGAATTTTAGTGCCAAAGCTGGTCTATGACCTTAAATTAGATTGCTTGCCCTTGCAGCCCAATGACAGTGTCTGTTCGATGGTAGTTTGACTTTATACACACTTAGGAAAAAATTAAAATTAAAAGGAATAAATCTTTGTTGCATGTCTTTGTACACAAAGGCTTTGAAGCTGAACTCCCACATGATGTGAGGACAATGAGCAGAATTTGATTATTAGGGATTTTAAAGCAGAATAGCTTTTTAGGACTGGTTAAAAAAAAAGTAAAATAAAAATTTCAACAAGTTGTGGTGCTTTCAGTCTGCCAGGAGACTGATGGTGGGGGAGGATTACTGAGATATGACTGAATTGTGGCACTCACACAATTCTGGCTGCTCCCAGAGACAATTAGGACAATACCAGTGCAATATTGCCTCTTCCATGAGTGTCACATGCAGAACCCTCTGCGTGGAGCATCTTACCCAAACCAAGGAACCAGCAAAGCCCAGCTCTGCTCTCACCTGGGTTTCTGAGCACAGATTGGTCTGCCTGCCTCCTGTAGGTACCTACACACCTTGAAGCCACCTGGGGACCTGTTAAAGGCTTTAAGCTTTCCCTCTGTCGCTTCCAACAGTAGCTGTGCTTCTCCGTGGCTTTCCTGATGGACAGACAGACTAACACCTCCTGTCTCACCACACACCTGTGAGCTTTGCTGGCCTCCCCTGGTGCCTCAGGTTTTAGCTTTTATATTTTTCAGATTCTCTGGTGCTTTATTGTGTGGGTCTGGGCTTCATATCAGGGGATGGTGAGCTCTCTGCACAGAGCAGGGAGACAAAACAATTCCTGCTCTAGCTGGGCACCAAGGAAAAATGATCCAAATCTCAGACCAAAGAGCACAAACACTGTGAGCTAAAGAGAGAAAAACGAGAAGGATGGGACTGCATGGGCTAAAGCTGGAATTGGACAATGAACTGCAATCTGCAAATGGAGCAGAACTGATCACAGTGAGAGACCCCGTGAGCGCTCGTGCATTTTGGGACCATTTTGGTTCACCCTGGGTGCAGCCCTGGCTGGGCTCTTGTGCTGCCCAAGGTGGTTCCATTGAGGCCTTTTAATAAATCCCTGCTTTATTCTTTAGCTCTATCCAGCCTCTGTTCTAGGTCAGCTTTCACAAGGCATCACTCCAGCACCCCAGAATGATCTGTTCCATTCTCCCTTTCTGCCCAGCTCACATCCTAAGTTTCCCAGCAGACTAATTTGTAATTCCCACAGCTTTCCAAGTTGTCTTGAACAAGAGGTTTATGCTCTCCAGAAAGACACTGCAATTAGAGAAGGATCTAGAACAGCAATTACAAGGGATCTAAAAGGCCCTTCTGTTTGAAAATCCAGCTGTTAATGTACCCAGTGAAACAATTAATTCTCAACACAGAGGGGGTTAAACCACTTTTAAATGCAACACTCTTGCTTTGTTAAAAGGCAGCAATAGCATTTGGAAGGAAAAATACCCATCAGAAGAGACTTGCAGAAGTCAAAAAGCTTCATGAAGGTCCTTCCATTCTGTTTAGGCTCTTAAGAAGTATTCAGTCATTATGAAATTAGTGCTTCTGGCTGCCAAAAGACTTGCTGAAGGTTGTGCTGCTGAATCCCAGCCCAGTTGGCACCCAAGCAGTGGATATGAAAACTGCAACAGCAATTTGGGTTATAGGGACATCTGGCAGGGAGCTGCAAGAATGATTAGGGAGCTGAGAAGAAAATCAGTCCCAAAGGGAAGCAAGTGGGATGCAAGTAGAATAGACAGCATGATTATTTTGAAGCATTGTAGAAGCTTATAACATTTTTTTTAACAGAATTAGAGGAAAAATACAATATCCAGATACAATGAATCAGATTGTGATGGTGATGGTGAGGAGGGAACTACTACTTAGGAGGAGAAGGTGGGGTTTTATTTGTTTTTATTAGGAGGGTTTGTGCCCAGAGGGGTTTGAGAGACTCTCAGTGGCACAATTCTTATGTGTGAATTTAGTCAGCTACCTCCAGGTGTAAAGCAGGACCTGACACCACTAACTCAAGTTCATAAAGTGATAATACTTAATAAATACTCTGCAGGGTTGTTTTGGTTTTTTTTCACTGATAAATGCCCACAAGCCTTTGTGTTTTTTCTCCCTGAGAATTAGAGGAAAAATACAATATCCAGATACAATGAATCAGATTGTGATGGTGATGGTGAGGAGGGAACTACTACTTAGGAGGAGAAGGTGGGGTTTTATTTGTTTTTATTAGGAGGGTTTGTGCCCAGAGGGGTTTGAGAGACTCTCAGTGGCACAATTCTTATGTGTGAATTTAGTCAGCTCCTCCAGGTGTAAAGCAGGACCTGACACCACTAACTCAAGTTCATAAAGTGATAATACTTAATAAATACTCTGCAGGGTTGTTTTTTTTTTTTTTCACTGATAAATGCTCACAAGCCTTTGTGTTTTTTATCCCTTTTAACAGCAACATAACTGCAGAGCTTCCAGAGAGCTGCAAATTCACTGGAAGGTCATTGAATCTCCCAGGACAGAGCAGAATTCCCAGTGACACCAGTGACAGAGTACAGGAATTGTGTGGGCTCCATCTGCAGGGATCCCCACGTTCCAAACAGAGCACACCACCCTGAGAGTGCCCTGGCCACCTCTCCAGGTTGTGCAACTGCTCTCCTGTATTTTTTTCTCCAGATGATGGACTTGTCTCAGGCTTCCATGGACAGTGGAAAGCTTCTGTAGGAATTTTCATATGGAAGGAGGGACAGGAATAGACAACATTTTCATCATGACAGCTTCCAGGCACTGTGGTTCTCATGGTGTTTCTAGCAGTCAGATGTTCATCCTTTTGGAGGTGGGGCAGAGTAGGAAAAGGAGGAAGAGGGAAGAGTTTGAATTCACCTTGACTTCTCTTTGTCTCCAGCTGCCAAATATGCAGAGAGTCATTATCAGAAAAGAAAAATTTGTTTGTGCCTCCTCTGAGACTCAAGCAATGATATGACTTCAGGGGCAAAGGCACTGTCATGATGCATCACAACCCTGCAGGCATTAAAGTGTCTCATGTAGCTGCTCTGCCAGAAAAGCTACTCAGATTGCTGAAGTCCTTTCAACAAGCTGAGCCCAAGGCAATATTTTAGTAAGAAACAGCTTCTTTAAAAATTAAAAGGAGTTATTTTTGCATCATTTGCATCATTTGACTTGGGTCATTTTAATGTTCTGTTATAGGTCACCTGTGTTGCTAGAAAAAAATGAACTTGTAACATTCTATTCAGACTAATTCCTTCAAAACACACCCAGGTTTATTGCCTAATTCCTTACACAGACACCCTCAAAGACCATGAAATGATGAAGGCTGGTTCTATTTTAGCACTGACAGATGATTTGCACCCGCATGCATTTCCGTAAGTGTCTCTACAGTGACCAACAATGACTCCAGACTTAGTCAAGGGTTTCAGCTCGGCTGAAATGACACTAAATTAGCAAGAGGAAATTCTGTTCATCTGTTTAGTGTTGCTGTGTCAAACTCAGTCTGGCCTTTGTGAGCCAAATGATGACCTAAAAGTGAAGTTACAGGAGAAATTTTCATCCATTGCTCATGCTGGAGTGTAAGATATCAGTGATGTGAAACCTTCTTCATTTTTCCCATGTGACTGTCACAGAGAGAGCCAGTGCTAGTAAGGACATCTGGGAGTGACATAGCACAGGACACTCTGTCCCAAATGGAGAGGCTGGATGGGAAGAGGAAAGAGGCAGAACCTCATTGACGGTGTCAGAGCTGCTTCTTGCACCTGTGGCTTTTCTAAAGTGAGTTTGTACAAAAAGCACAAAGGAGAGAGTGAAATACTGGTTCTTGCTCCTCTGTGCCAGAAGATGCTGCACAAGACACAGTGAGGGGTTTTATGTCACCATAAAAACAAAATTATTTTTACTTTCTCTAATCTTACAGAGGTAAATACTGAACCCATAAACTGACACAGACTCAGCCAGTGCTGGTGCACCACTTTCTGCTATTTAATCCAAGTGTCTTTACCTTCTCTTGTAGGACTGTATTTCATTTCACATGATCCCCTCAAGAGTCCCTCCTCTTACATTCCTGTTCCACATATTTGGGTGTACATGACATTATGGAGAGTTTCATCAGGAGCACGTAACAGCAGTAACACTTCCTTAGCTTCACAAGAAACACCACCTCTGAAAAACTCTATAATCACATTAAATTGTTTATTTCTCATCTGGCACAGGATGGTCAGTGATCATCCCATAACCTGCTCTACTTTGTCATTAGATAAATTGTTGGGATGGACAAATATGATCACTGAAATGTTCAGAAAGAGATAAGAGTTGATGGTTACTTTCTGCTGATATTGTCAGGAAGTGCTGTGACAGGTGGAAATCAAAGAGGAATCAGTCACTGTGTGTAGGTATAAAACCTAGCAGTGTTTTACCTCAAGAAGAAAAAAAAAAGGAAAACAAACAGACCTTGGAGCTACTGCACAAGGAAACAGGGCATCTGAGACATAGGGAAATGTGTGGCTCTCAATTTGCCACAAATATTGGAAAGAAATCTTTCTCTTTTTTGAACTGGGAATTTTTTTTCCGTGGTAGCAACAGACTATCTTGAAGATTCTTATCTATTTTAATCAGGCTTCTTTTAGCACCGGCTGAGATCTCTCAGAGCTCAGGATTGGCTTAAACACACATGAAAAGGGCCCTGTGGCACGTATTCCTTGACAACAATCTGTTCTTCTCACCTCATAGAGTGTAATGATGCCATTTGTCTCATTTGGAGGCTTCCACTGAACGTAGATCTTCTCTTCAAAAGGTCCTCCTTGGATAGATTCCAAGGGAACGGGTCCAGGAACTGCAGGGGAAAAAAACCCAGACAAACTGTGTTAAAAACTCCACCAGCTCCAGCTGCACACACATGAGACACCAAAAGGCCATCAGACAGGAAACAGAATGTTAAAAATAAATAAATTAAATTAAAAATTAAAATCCCTCAAGGCACTACCATTACCAAGCTACTATCAATGTGAAAGGCTTATTTTTCAACTTTTGGTTCAAATAACAATACCCTAATGTAACCACTAAGTGACAAATAAAATCAGAATCCATGAAAATATGATGCTAATTTCAGCATGATTTTATTCCAGTACAGCAGAGCAGCAGCAGGGAATTTAATTTGTCCTTCTCCACCCACACAACAGCAGAACATTCCACCTAAACAGACTGCACCTTGGCATGGAGATGCTAAGGGGCTGCACACCTTTATCCATAGGAAAGATTGATTTGCTTAGTAAAGTAACAATGCAAGATTTATATTTCATTACAGCTACAAGGCCAGCTCAAAAAAATCCACCTACTCCAGCAAAATGTTAATGCCATGGGAGATAACCAACTAAATGCACTCCTAAGCCTGTCTGATAAAAACCCTGCTCATTTTTCTGAAATATTTGCCATCCTTTTGTGTCTCCCCGTGTGATATATGGGGTTGGAGGAGCCACTTTCAGCTAAGAGAATCTCAGGACAGTAACTTGTACAGCCCAGGCAGAGGAATTTAGTCCTTGGTCTGAAATAGCTCCAGTGGGATAACAACACTTTGAAGCTTTCTATCAATTCCTCTAGAAAACTGTTCTTTTATATCCACAACCATTCTTTTATACCCACAATTAATTTTGCTTCTGAGTTCTCTATAAAATGTGATGTCCAGAAGATCACCTTTAAGAAAAGCTACACTCTGGAAAAGAAGGAACTATACATTTTTTTTTTTTTGGATGCCTTCTTTTTTGTGAAGGCACAAGAAAAATCAATAAATACAGGATTGCATTTGCCCACATGACAAAGGAAGCTGCTGGGTGGTTCAGAACATGAAAAATTAAACCTACAGCTTAGGTAGGTTTAACAGCTTCTCAGACTGGTGTCTGTCATGCCCCAGCACTTCAGGAACCTTCACCCTTTCAAGAACACGGTTGTGAAATGGAAATCATCTAAACCTACAAGTTTTACACTCAAAACAGACACACTGTCCAGAGAAGCCGCACTATTCTTGGAGGACAGAGGGTTATGCTGTTATTCACAACTTGAAGACTACTCTTCCCTCCAAACCCAACCAACCAACCCCACCACAACTTACCATCCTCCTCAGTTTGCACCACCAGCTCCTCGCTTTCCATTCTGCCCTCAGGGTTGGAGAGAGCCAACCTCAGCCTGATGGTCATGAAGGGCCGGAGCCCTCGCAGGGTGTAGTGAGAAGAAGTTTGGATGAGCTCCTCTGCCTCGAATTTCTGCTGGTTGAAGACGTACTGGTAGTGCACGGTGAGGTTGTAGCTGTGGCAGCGCGTCACGGCGTAGCCGAAGGGCTCCCACTGCAGCGTCAGCTGCCGCGAGCGGATGTCCACCACCTCCACGTTCTGCGGCCCGTGCACGGGGTCTGGGGAGCAGGAGAAGAAACAGAAACACAATGTGATGTTTAATAAAGGCAGCCATCCATTAACACACTTCATTCCATGTGTGAGTATCGCAGCACTCCGCAGTTCTGGATGTTCTTGTCTGTACAATGTACAAAGTGGTTGGGAAATGAACATCGGATCCACAGCTGCATTCTGCTCCTGAGTTTTGCCTGGAAATTTCCTGTCACAAGACCCTGAACAGTGGTTATGTGAAAAATGCTACTCACTTCCAAAAATTTAGAAAAGTTTATTAAAAACTTATAAAAAATACAACAAAAGACTGAATAGAGAAAATATTACGAGGAGCAAAGGATTTTCCCCACCATGTGCTCACCCACACAATGGAGGTTTCACCTTTTAACGCTTTAGCCCCTCCCAAAGTTCCATCCATTATCTCCTTCTTCACTGTCCAGTGGTGGAGTTCACTGCCTTAAATCTTGACTGCGGGTCAGGTGCTGCCATAGTAATGAGCCAACCCTCCCAAACGTCCTGAACTCAGGCCACCCCGATAACAACACATGGGAGGGTAAAACATAATTATAAATCTATAAAACTTCTCTTAACCTATACACAGGATAGTTGCCTTTTAATTGTAAGAGTCAATCATCACATTACTCATCTATCATGGTTGTGCTCCTGATTCCTGTGAAATCTCACTGAATTCAACAGTGGCAACAGGATTCTGTTGCAGTAAGGTAGAAAAATCATACAGAAAGGCTTCATAAAACCAAGGCTGCTCTCCTAGAATCAGTGGTTGGCCTTGTCAAAACTAACATTTTGCAAGTTCCCATGTGAAAGCAATCCTGTTGTGAGCAGTTTGTTAGCATAACCATCTATTCCTGGGTAAAAACCCCAGCACCTGTATAAACTGGTTTTACACAGTTATATAGAAAAATTAAAGCAATCTCTCACAAACAACTTTTCCTGCATGTACACCCTGGGGGTTTGAGTGACCAATCAATACAGAATAACAACTTGTTACTAACCAACAAAAGTAATTGCAAAGAAAGCTACTGACCAATTGGAATCACACACGAGATCTGTAAAACTGTATAAAAAAGAGTTACGTGAATAAAGAATGGCTTTTTTCCACCATGAATAAATCACCGTGTGATTTATTCCCATAGGATTCTATCAGGTAAGGAGTGGGGAAGTCGTGCTTTCTTCATTCTTACAAAGAAAAAAAAATTATAATAATAGTAGCTGATGGCCTGCTTGACAGTGCTTAATGACCTTGGTGAGTCAGCCTTAAGTGATGCAAACACACATGAAATGGCTCCTGGGGAAGGAATGAATTCAGGTGTCTCAGCTTAGAATTCAGCTCCATGGCCCCTACACCCTCCTGCCACCTCCAAACCCACTCTGCTCACACTGAAGCCCCAGAGTGAAAGAATCAAGACTAAGGGATCATCCTGGATTGGCCATTCCAACATCCTGGATATTCTGGCAATGAGGTGTACAGGCAGATCCTGCCACTCCTGAGTATGTTTTCTGAGTTGTCTCAAGCTGGTGCCAATAAAAGTTTAATTTCAGATCATCTCCGTGCCTTGGTCCCATCAAAGTTTCTTTGCTCTTTATTATTCTTTCTACAGTATCTACCTATGGCTGAGGTAAACTTTGAATATTCATGTGGAGGAATCATTTTCACCTGCTGTTCCTTAATTTATTTTTAACAGCCTAACTCAAATGCTCTGACTAGACTCTGCCCTTTATATAAAATATAAATGCATGTGCCACTAGACATGTAGATATAAAGAATGAAGGATGACTGAGTAAAATCAGTGTTTGAGATAAGTCAGACCATAAAAATTCTACAGATGTCAGGGTTTGTTTATCTGACATTTCTTCAACTGGTATTTGCTCTTTTGCTCAATATATAGCTGAACAAGGTAATCAGAAAATACATAATTTCACGTAAAGTTCCTTAATTTATATCGCAATTCAGGATTCTTTCCTCTTCTCATAGTCTCTCATTACTTCAACCTAAGAAAAAAATGTTTTCATGGGAACAAAAAAGTTGGAAGGATTCCTGAATACCAGTCACACCTCTTTGAGAGATAATTAAAGTGTAAAAAACCCCTTCTAGTAATTCTTTAAAGTAAAGCACGAACCAGCCACCCTGACTTCAATCTACTCATGCACAAGCAGAAAATACATTTTAACAACCTGCACATTCTGTATTACTTATAAAAATCCCCTAAGGACTGGCAATGGGAAAGTATTTGCATCTTTTTATAGATATTCACATGTGCAGACACTTTGGAAATGGGATGGATATTAAAAGACCAGGGGTCTAAAGCTAGCAAATGGTTTAGGTTTCCCTAAATCATGTCAATCCCTCAGCATCCAGAAAACACCTCTTAAAAGTGAGTCTTTAACTCTGTGTCAAATAACAACAACAACAAAAAAAAAAGATTGATTTAGAAATTAGGAAAATTTTATGCATGAATATACACATATATACTTGCATGAGGTGATAAGCATTCATTTTCTATAAATCCCTGAAATTTATGTCCCTGCAGATGAATTGTACAGATAAATTAGGTCAACAAAAGAATGGTTATCTGAAAATATTCAGCTTCTGAAACAGCAAGGTAATTCCAAGCCTCATTCCAAAATGCATCCAAAGGAAAGAAAAACAAAAGTAAATGCAGATATTTACCCTGCTGAAGTTTGCATTACACCAAGCACTCAACTGCAGAGCCCAGCAAACTCAGAATGTGGTTGAGATGAGGCAAAAACATTTCACAAAAATGCAATAATGCAGCTGAAAATGACAATTCACCACCATGGTAATTTTATACCACTTCTGTTTCTTTTAATTACAATTATTTGCCTTAAATCAGACATGTTATAGAGTGAATTAGCAATTAGAGGGTGTTTGGTTAATGGATGTCAGATGCTCTGACTGTACCTGTGAATTAGGAACAACCTGATCCTCACCTCACCAAGTCACTTGCCCAAAGCTGGGTAGGGAAAATTTCCTGCAGTTTTTAACTTCCTTTCTTATCCTGTCCACATTTGCCTTTTCTTTTCCTACCCCAACCTCTAAGGGTTAGAAGCTGCTCATAACCAGCTTCTAATTCTGCTCAAAACTTTGCTGTAAATGCTGTCAAGTCCATCACACACACAGTTTGAAAGGGTCTCTGATTGAATAACCAGCCTGTGAACCACAGAGGAATTTGGTTACAAAGCAGGAAGGTAAAATCCATAGTGCAGACCCCACTACACCATATTTTTCCCAAGAACCATCTGTTCTCAGGCTGACAGTCCTAAACCAGGTGTCAAATACCCATGTCCTGAGGTGTCCCTGCAAGTCTAGAGGTAGACATCTGGTGGCTGTCTAGATCTGTAAGTAGAGGGAGAATAAGTAAGTAAAAACTATTTAAATTTTAGTTTCAGAGAGGGAGAAACCAAACTGAAATTAAATCAACAAATAGAAGCTGGCCCTGGAAAGCTTTGTATTCTCTCCAGTTTTCTTCTCTTGGTTTCAATCTCCTTTTTTTCTGAATACTGAGACTATATAATTTGAAAATGTGTTCCTGTTGCCACACTGATTTCTTCCACAGCAGAAGCTATTGAAATCTTCTTTTCTAGGATGAGATTTTTGTATTGTTGTTTTTAAAGGGCAATGGTCCTACTGTCCTCTTTGTATAACTCCTTCTGCCTGTTAGCTCTGTGAGTATTCAGTATCAAAAGGCTTGTAGCTATTCCTGGGACCTGTCTAACATCACCTTTTTCATAATGTTTTCTTCCAAAAGATAAGGAAAATTTATAATTCATGTACAATGGTAGTGCTGATATTTGAAACTGGACAAATGTCTCCATTTCTGTATTCTTGGAATGATAGCTTCCAAATAATACAAGAAAATATCTGAAAAGTACTAACTTTGCACTTGGCTAGCGGAATAAAAGCTGCTAATACATATCTCAGCTTCATTTATACAAAGATACCCACCAAAGCAAGACAGAAACAGAACAGCCCAATTTGAATACTTAGGAGATCAGATATTGGTGTAAACTATGTACCCTGAAATAACATTTTCTATGTGTCCTAAGAACTCGGGGAAAAAAAAAAAAGGAAATTCTTAAGAAGCTTAAACAGCAAAACAGCTGCCACAGATCTACTGAAATGAGTCTTGAACCTACAAAAGGAAAATTGCAGTCTCTGAGATTTCACTGTGCAAGTCCTGTATTTTTATTTCAGCCTGGTTGAACCATTAATTACATTTGGAACGTTCACATCAAAGTCAAGGACTGAACAGTGTTTTTTAATACCTCATCACCCACTGATGCTTTGCTACCTTTCATTACTCTGATGGGCTGCAGCAAACACTCAGCAGCCAGGAGCCTTTCTGGAATCCTTGGGATGTGAAAGTCTGGAGGGGTCTGGAGCTCGAGTCCTGTGAGGAATGGCTGAGGGAGCTGAGAAAGGGGCTCAGCCTGGAGAAAAGGAGGCTCAGGAGGAACTTCTTGCTCTGCACAACCCCCTGACAGGAGGGGACAGCCAGGGGGGTCAGGCTCTGCTCCTGGGAACAGACAGGAGGAGAGGGAACAGCCTCAGGCTGGGCCAGGGAATGTTAAGATTGGATGTGAGGAAAAATTCTCCACAGAAAGGATGGTCAGGTGTTGGAACAGGCTGCCCAGGGAACTTTTAGAATCACAGTCACTGGAGGGATTTAAAACACATGTAGGTGTAGAGCACCTGGGGACATGGTTTAACAGGGGGCTTGGCAGTGCTGGGCCAACACTTGGACTCAATCTTAAAGGGCTTCCCAACCTAAATGATTTGATGATTCTAGTAGCCTGATTGAAACAAACTCTCCAGTGATCCTTCAGTGGAATCTGCATTCTCAGTCCTTTGTTGAGCAAACAATATCCAGAGACTGCTTTTCCTGCCATTAGAATTTCACAGAAAAGCTGACTTTTAAGGCCAGTTTTGCTCATTCCTTATTGAGTGTCATGGAGCTCATTTTGTTCT